CCAGCTACGCCTCGGCCAGCGCAGGGGGCGGCACCATGCATACACGGCGCTCCCGGGCAGAGAAAGTCCTCGACTTACGACCGGTTGGGGTCACGGCATTAAAAAGGTTGAGAACCACTGCATTAAACGAATGTAATTAGTTTTACCCCCTTTAATTGAGTCTGTCTGTGACTTTTAGAAAGTTTTCTTTGAAGGTAAACAGGCTTAGTTTAAAGCTAAAGCTTTTTGCAATTGCGAAGCCTTTCAGTCTAGAATTGCAACATTGTGATACCTGACATGCCTGAGGCAGCTTAAAGAGAAAAAAACAACTCAGAGTTTGTGTTTCTTTATTTTCTTGCTTTGCACTTGATTTTTGTGTCTTTAAGGGAACAGGGAAGGGATTGGGGGGTGCATTGTTACTACACTGTGGAAGAGCTCAGAAGGACAAACCAGCTAGCTTAGGAGTCTACAAACTTAGCAACTTTAAGACCTGTGGACCTAAACTCCCAGAATTCCTCAACCAGCCATGAGGGCTGAGGAATTCTGGGAGTTGAAGTCCACACGTCTTAAAAGTGCCAAGTCTGAAGACCCCTGAACTAGCTGGTAATGGTGCATATTAATAAATTCATCATATATTTGTCAGTGCAAAGGGAAAGTGATTCAGCAAAGGAACAGCCACCGAAGAAATTAAAACTGGTACTTTTTTACTTTTTTTCTACAGTTTGTAATATTTTATTAGATTATAGAATAAAATACAAAAATACAAAAGCAAATAGTAGGACACAGTGGGGAGGAAAAAGGGGGGAAAAGTGAGGGGGAGAAGGGAAAAAGAACATACTTCCTCTGTTGCAGTAGAAGGAAGCATTAACATTGAACCTCAACTTTTTACTTTTCCATAATATTATAAACTAGCCATTTCTATAACAACAATGAATCTAATCAGTAAAACCCCAAATCCCCCCTTTTTTAGTCATCAAGTTTTTGACACCTTGCTAAGCACTGGTGGTACTCAAATATTGTAATGTCCTAAAAATGGTACAATCTGTGAAAAGGTTGAAAAGCCCTGCTCTAAGGCACAGGTGTGACATATTGTGACTTTTTTTGCATTGCCAGAGCTGGGGTGGGTGCGGCCTCCGTATGATGCAATCAACCTGCGGGTCAGCATTTTGACACTCCTGCTGTAAGGTAAGATCTGTCCCCACCTGCCTATTCTTCCACAAGAATATAAAACCCTGGCTCTGCTGGTTGGCCCGAGGACCAAATGGGGGAGTTTCATGCTGGAGGTGGCTGTTGGATTGATGGCAGATTCCATCTCCCCACTTTGTGCTCTGTTCTTCACCCATCCATCTTTTTGGTTATCAAATTAATGTATTCTCAATGTGTTCTTTTTCATTGATTTTTTTATTGTTATTATTTTACTTCAGTTCTGTTTATACTCTCCTTTCATTTTCTTCCTTGTTTATTATTGTAAACTGGCTAGAGTAGCCCTGAAGCAAGATAGGTGGCAAATAAATTTAACAAATAAATGAATAAACATCATTACTTCATTCATTCATTCATCCCTCTTTTATTATTTTTTGCAAATAGTTCAAGGAGTGGCAAACGTGTTTAAAACTCTTTCCTCCCCCTATTTTCTCCATAACAAACCTGAGAGATGAGTTGGGCTGAGAGAGGGTGACTGGCTCAAATTTACCTAGCCATCTTTCATGCCTAAAGTGGGACTAAAACTCAGTTTCCTGGTTTGTAGCCAGATGCCTTCACCACTAGACCAAACTGTCTCTCTCAGTGTTCTCTGCTCATTTCTCCTGCCTCAATGAGGTAGCACTGAGGACCTGGTAGAAATAATAGTAATATCAATAGTAACAGTAGGACACAGGAATCCTTGACTTACAATAATTCATTTAGTGGTTGTTCAAAGTTATAACAGCTCTGAAAAATGTGACTTACAACTATTTTTCACAGTTATGACCTTTGCAGCATCCCCAAGATCATGTGATCAAAATTCAGATGCTTGGCAACTGTTCATATTTATGACTGTTGCTATGTTCCAAGATCATGTTATCACCTTTTACAAAGTCAATGGGGAAGCCAGATTCACTTAAAAACCTACCAACTGCAGAGCTTCACTTAACAATTGTGGTAAGAAATGGCAAGACTTGGTGCTGAATTAACTTCAGATCAGAAGCGCTTTGGGCAAGCAGTTTTCATTCATTGACTTAAAATAAATTTTGTGCCATGAAGTCCAAATTGTAATGCTAGTCACCAGAACAAGGCAACATTCTGGACCTTCTTTTCAAAAATTAGTTCTCAAATATTAAGAGCAGGCCTTAATGGCAAATCTTAAGCAAAGGATTCTTGAAAGCATCAAGCTGGACTTAAAGAATTTGTATAAGGGTTGAACTGATAAAGCTATGAACTATTTAAACCAGCAAGGTACCTTTAGTAACTTAAGCATCACAAATATTGGACTTTCTAACACAATTTTACATCTCACAATCTTTTTTAATATAATTTTACTGAAAGTTTTAAAAACAAAAGTAAAAAAAATTAATACATTTAAATGGGATAAAAAAGGAAAAAGAGAAAAGATTAAAAGATAAAGCTGAAATGCAAAAAGAATAAAAGGAAATAAAAATTCAAGAAAATAGAAAAAAATTAAAGAAATCGATTCTGATCTTCTTTATAGTATATAAATACTATTGTAGATTTACTTCTTTCTCTAAAGTTACACTGTGACTCTCCTCTTTCTATAACATCCTATTTATTCCAAACAATCCTCTGAATCAACGCATGCATTTGCACCCAAAATCTTCTAGCTTTTTTGCACATACATCAAGTGTTTTGTCCACTGTTTCTTTTCTATAAAATGTTTCTTCTGTTGAAATCAATAAAGATATTTCCAGGCACAGCCTGAGTTTATATCGCTTCCATATTCTTAATATGGTCATCTGTAACATAAAGATATTTAAAATCCACATTAATTTTAATTCCCTTTTTATGAACCTGTAATTCCTTTAACTTTTAACTTTATCGTACTGTAAAAAGCCATGTCATTTGAACCTCAGATTATGCTCCTCTAATTCTAACAAACGATTAAAAGTCATACAGTACAATCACCAGGAAAGCTCAGTCCTTCCAGAAGCCATCAATTTCAGGGCCAGCCTGACTTCAAAATGATGTTCTACATGGCAAGTGCCGCAGCAGAAAAGGGTGCTCCTCCTGGGACCCTTCAATTGGGTAGATGTCACTGAGGAGAGACGGTCCTCAAATAAACTGTCTGCATGCCATGCGGGGCTTCATAGGTTATCACCAATGCCTTGAATTGGATCTGAAAGCAAATTCGTAACCAATGCAGCTCACACAGCAGAGGTGTAGTATGCACAGAACTGTCTGCACTGCTGCATTTGCACCAACTGAAGCTTCTGAATATTATTCAAAAGCAGCCACATCTAGACCACATTGCAGTGATCTATACAGGAAATATAGATTTTATGAGCAATGAGTGAGTGTAATGCTTCCTGATCCACAACTCCTGGTGCACAACTCAAAGCTGTACAAAAGCCTTTCTAGGCACAAATGTCACCTCCTCTTTGAGCAGGAGTCATGAATGCAAAAAGGCCCCCAGAATGTACGCTGATAAGTGCAACCAAAGATACTAAATTCCTAGAACCAGGTAGCCTCCAAACTGAAAGCCACTCAGTTTTACCAGGATTGAGTCAAAATCTGTTGTTCCCCATCCAAATCTCTTGGAAGACACTTGTCTGAGAACTTTACTTGTTACATTTCTGCCTCATGCTCAAGTTTCTGTTATCTATTACATTGGCAGCATCTCTTCCTCTTGTCCCTCAAGGCCCTTTCCTCTGCCTTCTACACCTCAGTGTGGTATTGAGTTATTGAGTCATTCTCTTTTCTAACTTTTACAGAGACTTCCATAATACTTTTCTTGATTTATTCTTAGGACATTTTCTGGGTGGCTGACTAAGACCAATGTATATATCATGCTGTCAAACTTTAAAATAACTAAGCACTGAGTCCTAATTTTAAGATCTACTAACTACTATAAAACTATTTTCCCAGTGAAATGATGACTCTATGACAGATAGACTAGCAGATTCTAATAGCAGCCAGATTCTATAGTCAAGGATATGCTGTAGAATAGCTGAAAGTGGACCAAATCATTGTTATATTTGACATTTGATTATGCCATTAATTATTATTTATGAATATACTACATGAATCACTTTATTTTGGATCTTCTGAATTTTGAAATTCTGGACATTTGTAAGAGCTAATTCCTAAAATGTTCCATGTGGGGTTTCCAGAAAAATATTTTAACATTTTTGAGGTTGGTCATCACATATCAACAAATAGCCTATTCATTCATATTCATATTACAAATATTTATGTAACTATATGCACATTATTTTTCCCCTTAGAAAACATACGTATTTCCATTTCAGGAAGTTGATCCTTGGCTTTTCCAAGTAAAAACCAAAAGTCTTTTTTGGGACTTGTTTGAGAAAAGAAAAAAGAATTGCTGTATCCTAGAAATACGTATAATACTTTGAACTCAGTGCAAGAAGGAAATTAAATCTTGATGCCCAAAGATTCTTTGTGTAATTACTTACTAAAAATAACTGTTGTCAATGAGAAAAAAAATTGCCTATGGGAAAATGATTTCCAGAGGGACTGCCATGTTAGCCTGTTGCAGCAAAAACAGGTTCTTAGGGCATAATGTTTCATGACAGAGCTGTCTCCTTCAGACAAATGTGACCCTTACTTCAGAGGTTTTCATAAGCGGGAATTTAAATGGGAAAGGCACTTTAGGACTGGAGCTGAATGGCAAAGGAATACAGACAATGACAATTCAGTCTGAACATTGTGTTGTGTGTGTTGCAAAAACTTCTGCAATCCAAGTAAAGCTAAAATGTAGTCGCAGCAGTCAAATGTACTGTTTTCTTGGAGTGCTGTTGTTCGTAATGCTCCCTGCAGTGAAACTAGTTAATTTAAGACTCTGAATTTTCTAGTCTTAGGAGTGTCCGCTTTAAAGTGCTTCACTCATTAAAAATTATATAAGGCAGCCCTTTCCATTTTGCTCAGAGAGAACTGGATCTCTGCCTCCAAGTCCCCTCTTGATCACATCATATGATACCTTCTGTAGATGGCAAAGATCTTATCTGTTGCAAGGAAAGAAGGAATACATTTCAAGTATATTAATTAGAAGTCCTGTGCTTATTCGCACACACGCACACACAAACATACACACACATCAATAGAGGTTTCAACAAGGCCATGATTCACATTTAATAAAAAATCAAAATTAATAAAAATCAAACATATTTAATAAAACAATAAAGAGAATAAAGCATGATAGCATTATGCTAATTTTACATTTATAAAGATTTTTGTTCACAGCTTTGTGATGCAGCATGAGATTTTCAAATAAAAATTATTAGAACTCTATCAAGAGTGATTTCCATCTAATTAACTTAAGTATTAATTATGATGCAATTAAACTTGTAGTTTTAATAAAACCAGGAAATATGTTTACAGGAAAAACCAAATTTATACATTATGTTAGGAAAAAACTACATATTTTATATATTTAACCAATATAAATTTGATTAAATAAAACAATTATAATGTAATTTATTTTAATTCTATGCATATAAATTATATGTATACATAAATATTTTTAAAACCACTGTAAATAAAACTGAAAACTATTCATCTATAATTTGTAATTTTCAGTTTAAAATGGCTTGTTCTTTCTATCTCACATTGCCTGCATATAACAGCTATAAGAAGCTTTTAGGTCCCTAGATTTGAGAATGATCGTTTAATGAACCATATTTAAATTGATCCTTGAAACCTTTATAATAATTATTTATTACTGTAATAATTGTACTTGATATAATTAGACTAATGGCCCATTAAAGGCTAACATACCATTACAGTACAGATTTAATGGATCTAAGACTTCATCAAATGCATGGATTGGAAGCTTTCAAGCTTGGTAGGCTTTTAAATAAATAGTTGGGAAACAACAGTAACATTATAGAGCAATAAAATCTAATGGTATGGTAAAGCTTAATATGCATCATTGTAGGGACCATTCATTAAGGTAACAACTATTGGAAGGTTATTTAATATGTATAGACTATATTCATATGATATAGTTATCCTCAATTAACTGAAGGGTGGATAGTTGATTCAATGAACCCAAATCTCTAGGTTCTTATGGTGCACTGAACCATAAAAAGCATATGAACTGAGTTTCCACAGCCTGCTAGACTAAAGGTTGGTTAGACAGCTTAAGGTTCAACATGCTATATGGAGTTCATTAGAGTGTTTATTTTTAATTATTATTTTTTAAATTCATGGCACAGAAGTCTGGCCTAAGGCATTTGGCAGCTCATAGTGAAGGATACAATTGTGCTTTCCCCACTGCACATCCAGAAAATGATGGGCGAGATAAAGGAGTCCCATTGCCGGTGCGGTTGGTGCTCCCCAGCCACGCGAGGACAGCAAGGTAGCAGTACCCAAGGACAAAATGCAAAACAGGGTTCGTTTTGTCCTCTAGTATCTTACAACTGCTTCCTGCACCGCCTACAGTAAAAATAAAGGAGACAGAACTGAAATTCTCGATGGGTTCTTACACGCGTTAAGTTCCTCCTTCATTCAAGGACAGTTAGTCAAAAAACGGCCGCGGAGCTGGGAAGATGCCGAATGGGCTCTTTTCTCGTGGTGGATCGAAGCTGCATTTGTTGATTTGCACAAGGACCGGCCTGTTTGCCTGAGGGAAAAGGCGGAAGGGCACCGATGACAGGCAGGTGATATCACGTCTCACATTGGAAGGGATGCTCGCCTCTTTAAAAGTAGTACACGTGGGTGAGCCGATTCCATTAGCAAACGCGCGCCTTGAAGGCTAGTGCGCTGGAAGCGGGCTGCTCGGAGAGCATTTGCACGCAGCGGCCAAGTTGCACCGCGGCCGGAATTTCTCTAACTGCCCGGCGCCGCGCTTCCTCGAGTTGATGCGGATGTTGCTGATCGGGAGGGACGAAGGAGTCCTGCTCCTTGTCTTCTGATCGCTGACGGACTGTTATCTTCAGATGGCAGACGCCCTCCAGTGTCTTCCGTCCCTCAGCTCAGCCGCAGCACGAGGCGGTGAAAAGGCGCGGCGGTAACAGCAGAGCCTCGTTTCTGCCTTTCCAGTTCCTGTGCTTTCTCTGCCCCTGGTCGGACTCCTGTTAGGCTTCTCTCTCAGATTAGCGGCGCTACTGGGGTCGAAAGCGGCCCGGAGGAAACATTTGCAGCTTCTCCAGCGGCCGGCTGGCTGCTCGCTCGCCGGCGGCGCCTTCTGCTTCTCTTTTGCCCCTCAGCAACAACCAGCAACTGAAAGGAGGGGCGGTCGGTGCCTCCCGAGCTGAAGCCAAGGCGCCGCCGCGGCATGTCAGTCACGGGCAAAAGAATCAAGGAGCGGGGAAGCGTGACCTTCACCCAGCAGCAGGAGGAGGAGGAGGAGGAGGAGGAAGAGGAGGAAGGCACCTCTGAAGAAGAGCCCCCGTTGCCGCCGCCTTCACAGCAACCCCGAGCACGTCGAGGGTGGAGGGGGGTCAATGGCGGGCTGGAGCCTCCCCAGCACCAGGCGGTGAAAACCCAGCGAGAAATGTCCGGTTGCTACCCGCCCCTGCCAGTGGTGGGCGATGTGTAAGCTTTTAAAGTCTGCCTGGGCTAAGGGGTGGGAGAGCGCCTCTTCTCGGAGGGAGGGAGATCCCGTAACGGGCTATGGGCTGTCCTTTGTCGCATCGGACGGCGGGGCAGAGCGGTCGCCCTCTGTCCGCGAGAACCAGCCGTGGCAGCTCCCAGGAGTTGTGGGCAGTTGTGAATGACTTTCGCTAAAAGAGGATGCAGTTAGTCGGTCGAGAGCAGGCTTTAAAGTCAAGGGAAGAATAAATATTAGAAATAAATATTTCAAGGGGAGGAAGCTCCTTGTGCGGTTGACGGGAGAAGAAATGTTTAGGAGTTGTATTGAAGGGGTGTGGTGTAATGGCCCGCGGGAATTCCTAAATCGCGATTTCTTGGTCTTTAGCTAATTCAGTAATTGGGAATTGATACCACTTTTCATTCTGTGATTGTCCGTACTTTTTTGTAGCCTCCTAATTTAATTCTGGCATCTCGAAGTTTGACTCTTCTCTTTCCTGCACAGATGGACTGGACTTGCCTATTTTAACAATGCTGAGGTTGCCCCTTTAGATTAAGGATCCTTGCATAATTTTTTTTTACAGTTGTAGGATTTCTCTCTCTCATGGAATGACTCTTTTTTTTTTAAGATGTAGCCTTAACAAACAAAAGCTATGCATAATATAATTAATTCCCCCTCCCTCAAATATGAGGGAGAAACTTTGAGAGAACTTTCAAAATTTAGATTCTAACAGAAGTAGAATTCTCAGTGTCTTGATGCTGCTGTCCCATATCTGGCAAGGAAGTGGGGGGGGGGGAATCAGTAACAATGGAAATAACAGATAGGTCCACTACCAACAAATTTCAATATATTTGATTGCCCCAGTTTCAGTAATGTGGTGACTAACAAAGTAGCCAACTAGAAATGGTGAAATATGTGTTTTTAAAATAGAAACTGTAGGATATAAATATTTGAAATTAAAAGAGGTGGGGACTATTGGTTAAGGAGTTACAATTTAGCACACATATTCACACATTCTAGTCCAGAAGTCCCCAACCTGTTGGGCACCAGGTTCTGTAGAGCAGTGGTTCTCAACCTGTGGGTCGGGACCCCATTTGGGATCGAACGACCATTTCACGGGGGTCGCCAAACAAGGCTGTCCGCCATTTTTTCCCCCTTTTCTTTGGCCACGCCCCTGGCACCCGGTGATGTATAAGTGGTTGGGGGTCACCACAACATGGGGAACTGTATTATGGGGTCACGGCATTAGAAAGGTTGAGAACCACTGCTGTAGAGAAAGGTTTTTCCATGGACTGGAGAGAGTGTGGTTTTGTGTGCTGCCTGCATCCCACTGATGGGGCTTTGCTTGTTTGTGTGGACCGATTGCTGGCATGCCACAGACTGGTACTGGTCCATGGACCGGGGGTTGGGGACCCCTATTCTAGTCTACTGATTTGGAATGTCACGTTGGACTAAGCAGGGATCTATATACAAAGATCAGTACTGTCCCTTTACAGTTTCTGGGTAAAAGGTAGTATGATTTAGATCACTCAAACACTTATTTACACATGTCATACATAGCCATGTTTATTTTAATCATGGATCATAATTGGATGGTATCAAACTAAGCCATAAGACTACCATAATGTGCTTTTATATAAGCTGCTAAACCCAGCCCAATGAATTCTATCATTGTACCAGGATATATCCAAATATACAACTGTAGGAAAACAATAGAAAAGGCAGCTGAGAAATCAAGCATGGAAGGTACAGATCTTAGAATAGAATCATAAATATGTGGGTTTGAAATGCTCAATATGAAAACAGGTGAAAGCTTAATTTGAGCTGAGGCTTATTGAAGCATGAACAATAATAAAAGAAAGTTCCACAATCGTTGAAAAGAGACAATTTTTCGGGGATTGATTATTTTATTTTATTCCAACTTTATTTATAAGTAACTCAAGGTGGCAAAGGACTCCCTGTATATAGTCTATTTTACACTAAAGTAAACCATTATCTCTAGAGGTAGGTGTTGCAAATATGAATAGTAATAGAAATCTTGACTATCTTGCTACACAAGACTCTTTTAAACTAAAACACTATACTTTATACATATAAAACACCTCCTCATAATCATTATGCTGGTTAGGAACTGTAGCTTTTGTCATTTGTCAAAGGTACATTATTTCTGCTATCATGTTCTATAAAAAATGACTTCTTACTAAAATGCTCTTTAAAATGATGATATAGAAATGATTAGATCAGAAGTCAACTTTTAAAAGCTCAGGCACAACTGTGAAATAATCTAGAAACTATTTCCTTCTTATGCAAGTATCACCTTAAATATTACATGTTTTCATGTACAAATGCCAGAATCTCATACAATATTTCATTTATTCTGTCTTTCTACACATTAGGCAAACATTCCTCAGACTTCTCTCTCCTATTTTCCCCACAATAACAACCCTGAGAGATGAGTAGGGCTGAGAGAGTGTGACTGGCTCAAAGACACCCAGCCAGTTTTTCATGCCTAAGGCAGGACTAGAACTCAGACTCCTGGTTTCTAGGTCAGCATCTTAACCATTACACCACACTGATTCTCCATATAAAATAATTGTTATATATATATATATATATATATATATATATATATATATATTTGTTTTCTGAGGTGAGATATATAATATATAATATATATATATATGAAGTGTCCAGTGAGAAGGATTCGTAAAACCTTTCTCCAAATTTGCTTTAATTTATGGAATTGTGAGACATTAATTCAGTTCTAATATTCTGCTGAATACATTTAATTGACAATGACAACATTTATTTAATAGGAACAGATGAGTCAGGGGTGTTTTTCTCAAGCCACCTGAATAGCTGCCAAGAAAGAAACTCCAGTTACTGTGTCAGTTCAGGCTCTTGAATTGATGTAATCATTTTGCTATGCTTCTGGTTACAAAATAAATTACCTTTCCTTCAACTTGCCTTGTATGTCTATATGGCAACAAAAATTAATCCGCAATGATGAAATGAATTACAGTAAGATGCTGAACCCCTGATTGTAACTTTTAATTAGAAATATTTTAACTACAGTGTGTGTGTGTGTGGGGGGTCCTTGACTTATAACAGTTCATTTAGTGATTGTTCAGGTTACAGTGGCCCCTATGACCATTTTTCACACTTGTGACCTTTGCAACATCCCCATGGTCATGTGACCAAAATTCAGATGCTTGGCAACTGGTTCATATTTATGATGGTTGAAATGTCCTGGGATCATGCAATCGCGTTTTTAACAACTGTGCTACTAACTTAACAACTACATTCCATATGTGTATGTGTATATATATATATATATATGTATATGTATATGATGTATATGTATATCAATATGCATGCATATATAATATCTTTATATACAGTATATCTATCTATCTATCTATCTATCTATCTATCTATCTATCTATCTATCTATCTATCTATCTATCTATCTATCTATCTAATCTTTGCATTGATAAAACTCAGGACTAGTAAAAAATCTTGCCACTACTTCAGTCTTATATAAAAGACACTAATCTTCCCTTTGGGACATACAATATTTATCCCAGACTTAAGTTGTCATAGTGTACCATTTTGGAACTATTACTTTTCTGTGAAGCTAACACAATCCCACTAAAGGTGCAAGGTTTGTAAAATATGTAATACTTTGCCATTCATTATGGAAATAAGGTAGCTGCATGTTGAAGGTGAGATTGGAGGCCTATTTTGAGAGTGCTTGGAAGTGAGGGCATTACCCCCCCCCCTCCAATTATAATTATTTCCCTCTCACAGCATTTGTCCTATTTATTAGCATTTCATTTCTTGTCTTCCTTTCATATTCTCCTTGCCGCTTTTGACATCAACTCTTGTTCAAGTTACCCAAAGTTTTGCTATTTCTGTTTGAAGAAGATGTGTGTGTGTGTATGTGAGTTATTCCATTTTACACTGCTCTGAAATGTAAGTTTTAACATCCCTACCTTTCTAAGCTTTTGTACTTATTTGCCTCTTTCCCTGTTTGTCAGTTTCAATTACTTCCTTTCCCTGAAGAAGAAGACTGATTGGCCAGGAGTTAGTCATTTTTGGCTAATTCCTCTGATCCTAGCTAATTATCACAATCCCAGCAGTGTGTACCTCTGTCCTCTCTGGAGCTACTTCTCTTATATTGCCTTTCTGTATCTTTGTTTCCTTCACATTATTTTAAACTGGGAGCTGCCCAAATATGGGAGGAGATGCAGATAGAACAGCCTTGAGAATTTCAGTGATGTCCTGAAATCAGATCCATCCCACTTCTTCTTCACTGATGTTATTAGTGGATGCTTTCCTTATTGGCTAAAAGAGAATAGCAGCAAAACTACCTGAGAAAAAGCCATGACTTTGCCTATAAAGCCTGCCCTGATCACAAATCAGGATGACATCAATGAGTAGGGGCTGAGGACAGCTGCAATTGAAGCACTAGCTCTCAAATGATAGCCATAAATTTCCAAAATGAAACTGATTTAAAAAACACAACAACCCTAATGTGTAGAAAGACAGAATAAATGAAATATTGTATGAGATTCTGGCATTTGTACATGAAAACATGTAATATTTAAGGTGATACTTGCATAAGAAGGAAATAGTTTCTAGATTATTTCACAGTTGTGCCTGAGCTTTTAAAAGTTGACTTCTGATCTAATCATTTCTATATCGTCATTTTAAAGAGCATTTTAGTAAGGAGTCATTTTTTATAGAACATGATAGCAGAAATAATGTACCTTTGACAAATGACAAAAGCTACAGTTCCTAACCAGCATAATGATTATGAGGAGGTGTTTTATATGTATAAAGTATAGTGTTTTAGTTTAAAAGAGTCTTGTGTAGCAAGATAGTCAAGATTTCTATTACTATTCATATTTGCAACACCTACCTCTAGAGATAATGGTTTACTTTAGTGTAAAATAGACTATATACAGGGAGTCCTTGACTTACAACCACAACTGAGCCCAAA